GATTACACCTCTTGTGTGGGCGTGTACAGATGGACTTGAGTGACATATCCTGTCTCCTTATCCACCTGTTAGGGCTGGACAGCCTACACATTTTGATCATTTATAAATTACATGCAGTCAGGTGACCTCTGAAGCCCAACTTCAGCCTGTGAGGATGACGTATGGGTGTCCATAGCCTCAGTTACTGAAGAGGTCAGTCTTGTGGTGATGATTTTTTTTTGTTTTTCTCTCCAGTGTACCTGTTAAGCGCATCCTCAACAAACCCCAGATAGTCCGTAGTCTGGGAAGCAACCTTCACGTGAATGTGAATCCCAGCCACGCCATTGCCGGACGGACGCTCCTGGCCAAAGTGCAGCGCAGCAGGCACAAGCATTATTATGACATCAGCCATCAAATCAAGGTGAGTCTGTTGTTTGTGTTGGTGTTTATGAGACGACACTGCAGTGCTACTTGAAGGAAATGAATGAGCATGGTGCTCAGTGATCTCTGGACACTATAAAATGTGTGCATACAGCCCATAAAACTTCCCTTGGACTTTTTCATGTTATTGATTTACGGCTTTGAATCGCAGTGGTTTTAATAAGACTTTTGGTTCAAGTGAATCAAAGAGATCAGTGGAAATACGTTTAGCAGTATGTTTTTCTTCAGTCTTAAATGTCTGACACAATCCACAGTATTGTTTTAAACCTAAAACATAGCATTTGGTGTGATTTAGTATGGCTAAAAAAGTTCAGTTTAGGTCTCATTACAACCGTCTTCCATTCATTCATTCATTCATTCATTCATATGTCATGACACTTTCAATGGTGGCTTTCTTTTGCCACTCCCACATTGGGTTAACAGTTGGAGTGTCTGAAATCACTTCTTTGTTAATTACTATGAACTACATAATAAACCTTTTAATTGTTTACTCTAGTAAGTTGTAATGTTTGTGCAAATAGTTTATAGTTAGACTGTTGCCACTAAATATAGTCTACTATTGTAGGCAGAAAATATGAACTAGATTATTAAATCTTGGCAGTGCAACCCTGTAGCTACTGAACAGCTGAAGAAGAGTTGCCATAGACGGCTTTTTTCTTTGACATTAAACCTCTCCCAAAGAAATTATTTAATGATTGACTAATGACTGTGCTACGAGGGAATTTAATGCCTTTTATAAAACTTAACATCATTGCAGCCTTTTATCTTTGCTGTTCAGTTTAAGGATTAAGCTTTTTTAACTCCAAACTATTCCTGGATCATAATAATCATTACAAGCCATTGTAACGTTACATTGTCCCTTCACACTCCAAAGGGGGATGTTTGGTACCTCCTGTTTGCTACTGACAATACTGAACATAATGCAGTCAATACAACTGTATGTATACAGAAACTTCTCATTAATGTCATCATAATAGAAGATTGATCAAAGTTATTAGTTATCAGATGTTCATGACATGTTGTTGTCTCTGTTAAAGGCCAAGCCTGACTTAAACACAACACTACCAGTTCGACAGACGGCATCCATCTTCAAACAACCCGTGACAAAGGTAACAAATCATCCCAACAACAAGGTGAAGACAGACCCGCAGAAGGCTGTGGACCAACCGAAACAAGTAAGTCAGAGGCCAGAAAACATGCACATTTCAGTTCTTTGAACTATCTTTCGACACTCTTTAGAAAATGTTACCATTATAAAAAGATCAAGTGAGCCAAAGACAATGTCTGTTCCTGCAAGCAGAGTCCAGAAGTAATGTTCTATAAGACCTGGTGTCCTGATGTTTTGTTATGTCTGTTTCTGTCTTTGCTGTTATATACAAAGTGTTGAAGGGTTAATTCACCCTCGTTCAATATCTTCCTAAAATTGATAATGATGCACATATTCAGTTTGGGAAAAACTGTGCTCAGAACTCAACAAGAAACATCTTTGTTTGCTTCAATGTTCAGCTGTTTTGGGAGAGGAAGCTGAGCGGGTTAAACGCATTTGATATCGCAGAAGAGCTGGTGAAAACTATGGATCTTCCCAAAGGCTTACAGGGTGAGGGTAACCAAAAACAAATATGACAACCTTGTATCATACAAAGCTGGAAATTTCTTTGGAGGCTTAACTTGTCCCTGTCCTCTGTCCTCCCCTTAGGTGTTGGGCCTGCATGTTCAGATAAAACACTGCTGTCTGCCATCGCCAGTGCCCTGCACACCAGCCCCGCTCCTGTCACTGGACAGCTTACTGCTGCGGTGGAGAAAAATCCTGGAGTCTGGCTCAACACGTCACAACCTCTCTGCAAAGCCTTTGTAGTTACTGACGATGACATCCGGTAAGATGTTCACACAGCTGTAGTGTCCTCACTGTAGGGTTGCTCTACATCATCAATACATACATTTCTTTTGGTCAGTTATTGGGCTCTTTAAGTAGTAAACTGTAATTATTTATTTGTTTAACATGTATCCAGTAACAAGTTAGTGTAACATGTTCTTAGTTTTGGGATCATGTTAAAATTTCAGAACTGGTTAAAAGGTCATTGGTGTTAGTGTCCTTTGCCTTAAAATGTCAACTTACATAGCTACAAAGCTGGTTAGGTTTTTTTTTTTTAGCTCTAGTATTGTGAAGAGGAAGTTGCCATTTTCAATATTTCAAGTCATCTACAGCTATTTTCTGTTAACATGAGTTCTTCAACAGTTTCTCTATTGTGGTTTTAAGTCTCTATTTTGACGTTTAACCTACATGTCTTGTGTTCAGTAGTTGAGTGTTGAGACTTACTTCAAGAGTCCTTGGTTAATACAACCAAACTGTATCGCTCACAAACTCTTACACTGACACTACCAAGATTAAGGGAACATGGCAAAACTGTCCAGGTTTAATGGCCCTACACAGTGCTTTGGTGGCCACCAGATGACAATAACTGAACATTGTTATTACCTTTTCATCATCAAGGTTTACTTTCATTAGTGCCACTTTTTTAACTTTCTCCTTGTCTGCGTCCCCCAGGAAGCAGGAAGACCTGGTGCAGAATGTGAGGAGGCGTCTTGAGGAAGCCCTCACAGCTGACATGTTGGCTCATATAGAGGACACTGGTGCAGAAGCAGCAGCCAACAAAGTAGACGAGAAGGTTGAGCAGGTGGAAAAGGAGGAATTATAGCCAAGGTACACAAATCCACAGGACTGTTTCCAGTGTTAATGAATGCTTTTCTGTTGGTCCGTTGTAATGAACGGCAACCTGTAACGTGTCTCTTCTCATCTCTCCCACAGGATTGTTGGACATGAAGTTTGCTGGTAAACTCCTTCCATTTCAAAATAATTGGCTCCATGAATATTTTTTTATACACTTTTAACTGAAATAGACCCTAAATGCAGACATTCTGCAGATTTTGTTAACCTAAACAAAGACTGTTGTTCGTTTATTTTTTTTAAAATGTTTTTTTTTTTTTTTTTTTTACACGTGACCGTGTAATCTTGCAAGGGTGCTTTTGAGTTTCAGTTCATGTTTACCTCTACTAATATATGACAGTTACGGATGGTGGTCTATACAATGCAGTGTTACATTTAGTTAACAGCGGTTCAAGCTCAAAGTTAATAACACAAACCTGATGTATGTGACTGGTGTGTGTCTGTGTCTGTGTCTGTGTGTGTGTGTGTGTGTGTGTGTGTGTGTTTTGAATGTACCAGTTCATGTTGGAAAAACCTCTCAAGTGTATTTCTTTTTTAACTGTTCTTCCTGAACATGTTGCTCTTTTATATTTTTCTCTGGCACTGTAGGTAGTGTGTTTTTATGTTTGGAAGCATAGAAAGGTTGCAGTATGTTTACATGTACACAGCCTCTCTTTGGCTGTGAATATTAAAATTTAGCTTGTTTGATTTTAAGGTTTTATAGTTCAACATAGTGTTATTTCTCAAAATAACCTCAGTTTACATGGTTTTGAAGTTTAAGTCATGGTATTTGTATTAATCAGTATTGTTTTGCCAACTACATCTGAGTTTGGACAGTAACAGAAAAAGTGTGTGCCCTCCAGAAAATACAATAAGAACGCTGATGTACCTCATAACAAGATGTACTGTACCTCATTACAAGATTTATTATTTGTCTCTTTACCACTGTGTCACTATCAAATAAATGCAGCTCTTTTATGACTGGTGTCATTTATTTTGTCATTATCATTCGTGCATTTAGGGATTTTTGTGATCAGGATTGTGGTCCATTCTTCTTTAAAGGATGGGTTCACATGTTTCAAGACAATACTCACATGCTCATACGTATATTGTGGTCGCTGTAATGATTCCTACTTTCCAAAATCCACAGTCCTTGTTGAGCCAAAGCCAATATGAGGCCTCAGTAGTCTGGATTGGTCAAATGAGATGAGTATCTTCCAACCTTTCCAGCACTAAATTCCCTCTTTGTGTCGCTGCTCCTTCAATCCAGCTCAGCAGGGAAGCACAAAGGGGAAATTTGGTACTAAAAACAGCTGTTTTAGGTGGGAAACTATTTACAGCCAGTATGGAAGGGAGGAACAATCACAGTGATCATTAACTCTTTCAGTGTCTTTATGGGTGTGTGAGTGTTGTTGTTTTAAGATGCAATAAAATTCCATTAAAGGGGGGGAGGGGGTTCCCCTCCCCCCCAATGGATTTATTTCAACTTAAAGGTGGTGCATTAAATATTTTAATTAAATTACTTAAATGTTTTTAAATGAACCTATTTCCCCCCCACTGTTCATTTGTATTACCTAGAAAGCACAGATAAAAGCAGGATCACAAACTGCATGAGCATCATTGAGTTGCTGCTGTTGGACCAACCAAAACACCTCATTGGTAGTAGCCATGATGAACACACCCAACCATAACTACAATACAAAAAACAACAACATGCATTACAGAGAGGGGGTAGATAAAATAGTGCCCTGCAGACTGACAGACACAATGGCAGTGACAGCAGCGGTGGCTTCGCGTTGATGCCCCCCACCACCACCACCACCCTCTTGCTGCATGTGGCCTTTGAACCCATTGTTGTGTCGCGGGTGACGTCAGTGCCGTGTGCGGGAGACGGAGCGGCGTGCGCCTGGCGAGACAAAGGCGGCGGACCGACCGGGGTCAGGCAGCAGAGAGAGAGAGAGAGAGAGAGAGAGAGAATCACAGTCTTTTTTAAACTAAAAGGTAAACCTGCTAACCTTGGATTTCAGCTGCGGTCTCACTGACGGTACGCAGAATGAAGATCCAGTGACGCCCTCCAGGAAAATGCTTTGACTCTCCAGACAGAGGAAGAAACAAAACAAAACAACAACAGTGTCCTCTTTTCGTTTTTTAGACGTTTTTCCTCCTACGCCCCCCCCTCTACGTTTAGCGTGCTAGTTAGCTAGCCCGCTAGCTCCTAGCGTTGCACAGCACAGGTCTCCTCCTCCTCCTCCTCCTCCTCCTCCTCCCGGCTGCTTCTCATCTTTCCCTTCAAGAACTGGGCGACAAAGCGAAGAGAGGATCTCGTCGACAAAGGCAAGATAAAGTAAGTTCATGTCGGTGGGGGGGTTTTCGCACTTGTTTAATTTTAAAAAAACACAACGCGGCTAACCCTTTTGAGAATGAGCACAAGTTCGACTGACAGCAGAGCTAACCAGCTAACCAGCTAGCTGTGGTGCTCCCAAACAAAGGGGTCGACAACGTGACTGAGTGCCGACTGTGTGGGACTAGCCTGTTAGCTTGGCTCGTTGAAGCTAACAACAGCGTATTTCCCTCTTTTTCGGGGTGGGGGGTTTGTAACCTACATGTTTTTTAATTCGGACAGCACACTGTAAGAGTGTGTGAAGTTAGTGGCCACAGTGTGTGTGTGTGTATGTGTGTATGTGTGTGTGTGTGTGTGTGTGCAGGGGGAGATACTTTGTTCGCCTGTGTTGAAGCGGACATGCTTTATCCTGACAAAACAACCAGCCTCCCGGATGGTTTCAGTTGTCAGACAAGGAGCAACAACAGACAAAGCAAGGCGCCCAAATCAACCCTCCCAATGTATGCTGCTGTTCGTCAGTGATCTCCGGCTCCCAGGAGCTCATATCAGCCTTGTTTTGTGTGTTTAATGACAACAAACGCTTGACTTTTTCTTTAAAAATATATATTTTTTCCCCATTTTTTTTTTCTTCCAGGAGAGGGTGAGCTCACTCCCAACACACAGGCACCCGTGATCTGATGTGAGATCCACGGAGAGACTATGCCTAGCCCTTTATTCCACCCCGAGATTATGGACCACGACGTGGTGATCAGCAGCCAGCACGGCGGGGTCGGTCTGCCCCGAGAGACGGACCAGGAGTCCCGGGAAGAGGACCACCAAGAGGCGCTGCGCTTCGCCCTGGACCAGCTGTCACTCATGGCCCTGGATAAGGTGGACTGTGGGGGCGGTGGTGTTGGTGGTGGCGGGCTGGTCGACACTCTGGATGGGAACCAGGGTCCCGGCTCTGAAGGCTGCAACGGCGTGGGCGGAGGGGGCTACGTGGATCTACAGATGCTGGAGCACCCCAACGGGTCCCGGGACTCGCCGACGTCCTGCTCGCCATCCCCGGAGTACTACGGCTCAGGCGGGTACCACATGGCCGGCTCGCACTCCATGCTCCACGGGGAACAAAGCTCCGTCCTCTGCAGCAGGAAAAGAAGTGTCAACATGACTGAATGTGTGCCTGTCCCCAGCTCTGAACATGTGGCTGAGATAGTGGGGAGACAAGGTAAGCGCCAGAGTGTGTGTGTGACTTGGTGTTTTCTTAGTGATTTATTAATTGTTTGGTGTTCATCATACTGGTGGATGGTTCAGGCAGCATGCAGCCTGGTTGTTCTTTGTTTGGGTGGCTGCCTGGTGAGAGGAGGGTCCCTGAACTTTTACAGCCTGAGCTTGGTGCTCTGGTGGGGCTGCACTCACTGTTTGGAGTCTTTTTTTAATGCCGAAATAATGCGGATACTCCCTATAAAAAGCCATACCTACTCTATTTACATGTGCTTTATTATTATTATTATTTGATAACAGTCTTTAGACAATGCCTTGACAGACTGAGTGTGGGAGAGAGAGGGGGGAGGGGTGGGAGAGGGTCAGACAAAGCGGCAGATTGTCGGGAGTCTGGACATGTATAGCAGCCTGCACCAAACAAAGGAAATATGCCGAAATATGTCGCTTTTCTGTACCACAGCTCCTCAGCTGCAGCGTTGAGCACCGGACTCGCACCCACGGTCTCATGTACGCGGTTATTATAGATTATTATTGGCTTTGCTGAGCAGATTTTAGGCTGAAACGGGGCAGCAGGCGCACAAACACGGGACTGGGCGGTGTTACGCCCTGCACCCAGCTCTGTCTGCCGATGCTGCTCGCTCACGTACGAGTCGCTAAATCTTAAAACATGATCCATATCTGCCTTTTTATTGTCTCTTTTATGAACCAACATATGCCCTGCACTTTAAAACAGACTGATGTTGTGGGTTAGGCTCGTCCGTCGCCGCCGCGGCAGCCTTATGGCATTGTTCTCTTTGTTTGAAAAAGCCATGCTTTCTGCTTCCCAGAATGACATCACACTCTGTGCGCCCTATTGGTCGCCGAGGATGAAGCGTCCTCATTTAAAGAAACAGAGCACACACACACACACACACACACACACACACTGTGGTGGATGCTGCCGGAGGAGCATGAGTTGACACAAGCAGTGCAGCAGTTATTGACTCAGTGTTTGGGTAGACGGGGTCTTCATGCACATCCCGCATACCTGCTGCTTCTGGGATTATGTGTGCTGTGGTGGTGTTGATTTTTTTTTGTTTCATAACCCAGATAAACACATAATGAGTCGTTATTAATCTGCATATTCCAAAAAAATTGTTTTTCTGCTGTTATCAATTGTCAATCATGCAAAACTCCCAGTAATTAATACAACTTTAAGGTTATAGTGTTCAGTATTTATAAATTTTTTTTCATTTAGCTTTATGAATCTACATCTTTTATTATATGTATTAGTTTTAACAAGGTTTACTTTACTTAATAAACTTCTGAGTGTATATGGGAACTGTTGTCATTGAATACATGATCACACTTTGATGTGCGACTATGTTTATAAATAAATGTGTTTATATATGCGTGGGAGTATATGAAGTGTTTGAGCATTCATGTCATAAAACCGATGTCTGTGTGCTTCTGCATCTTCCAGGTTGTAAGATCAAGGCCTTACGTGCCAAAACAAATACCTACATAAAGACTCCAGTCCGAGGCGAGGAGCCGGTGTTCATCGTGACGGGACGCAGGGAGGATGTGGAGATGGCCAAACGTGAAATTGTCTCTGCAGCCGAGCATTTCTCTATGATCCGGGCGTCCCGCTGCAAAGCTGGAGCACCTGGAGGGGGGGCTGGGGGAGCAGCAGCAGCAGCAGGAGGAGGAGGAGGAGGAGGTGGAGGAGGAGGTTCTCTTCCTGGACCACCACACTTACCTGGGCAGACCACCATACAGGTACAGAAACTCCTGTGGCTTATTCATCAGGCTGTGTTTGTTCTCTCTCCGGTTGTATGAAATGTAGTTTTTCTCAGACGTTAAATATTTATTTTATTCCTGATCCAGGTGAGAGTGCCCTACAGAGTAGTTGGTTTAGTCGTTGGACCAAAGGGAGCAACTATAAAGCGCATCCAGCAGCAGACTCACACCTACATCGTGACACCCAGTCGAGAGAAGGACCCAGTGTTCGAGGTGACTGGCATGCCGGAGAACGTGGACCGAGCGAGAGAGGAGATCGAGACCCACATCACCCTGCGAACTGGAACCTTTGTGGACCTGCAGGGAGACAATGACTTCCACTCCAATGGCACTGATGTCAGTCTAGAAGGCCTGGGCTCCCTGAGCGGAGGGCTGGGGGCGTCTCTGTGGTCCAGGGCTACCGGCCACCATTCTGCCCCCCCTCCTCCTCCACCCTCCCCACCTCCTCCCATTCCCATGTCCATGCACCACTCCTCCAGCCGGAAGATGTCCTCCTCAGTCGCCTATCACACGCACAACGGCGGAATGAGCTCAGACAACTTCAGCGCCACTCGCAAGGCCAACGAAGGAGGTAGTCCCACTAGCCCCTTTAGCACCGGCTCCAGCAGTGCTGGAGGAGGATTCACTTTCGGGGGCGACTCCACCCCGGGGTTGCCCTCCTCAGAGGAACTGGGCTTTGAGTTCAGTGCTTCCAACATCTGGGCACCTTTCGTCAACGGTGGAGCGGGCAATAAGACAGCCGGCTCCTCGCAGCAGCAGCAGCAGCAGCCTCTTCGTCGCAACAGCAGCGGCCTCAGCGGCGGTGCCATCACTCCACGATTGTCTCCAACTCTGCCTCAGGACACAGGCGTTGGCCCCCTCGATCACCCGTTAGCCCGTCGTGCCCAGAGCGACCCCCTCAGCACTCTCTCCTGGCTACAGTCTGGCAGCGCGGGAGGCGGCTCCTTCTCCGGGGCGTCCAGCTCAAGCTCCGGCGGTTCGTCAACGGGTTACTCCTCCTGCTCGGCCTCCTCCCTGCCCGGCGGTTCACCCACTGACTCCGAGGGAGGCGGCAGCGGCGTGGGCCTCAGCTCAGGGATGCTGAGCCGGCTGAAAAGCAGCTCCGGCCCCGGGGTCGCGGGTCTGGTTGGCGTCAGCCCCGGGATCAACAGGGACTGCTTTGTGTGTTACGAGAGCGAGGTGACAGCAGCCCTGGTGCCTTGTGGCCACAACCTGTTCTGCATGGAGTGTGCCGGGCAAATCTGCCAGTCAGCCGAGCCAGAGTGCCCCGTCTGCCACACCCCCACTACACAGTGCATCCGCATCTTCTCGTAATGCCCTGGCGGGGGGAGGGTTTGGGGGTGGGGGGTAAATATGAGCGGGGAGCAGGAAGAAAACTGGAGTTGGGGCGATGGAAGGATTCACACTAATAACCTTCACACACACACACACACGATGGACCATAATAAATGCATTAATAGAGATGATGATACTATACGGATGTTGATTTATTGCTGATAACTGTCAAGATTAATAATAACAATAATAATAATAATGACAATGACTTATTTTCAGAGTGAAGTTAATTGAAACTGGTCTGCAGACAGTTGGGGCTCAGACAGTCTCTCGGTGGTGAACTTATGGAAGGAAACTAGTGTCTTATCTCTCTTCAGGCCTTCATTTTGACCCGGAGCAGCCCGCACTGCTGGCCGCCGGTCTGTCCCAACATTTCTTCATTCTGGCTTCTTCAGATCTCTGCCTGCTTTCTCTCTCACAGCCTTTCCTTTTGACACTTTTGTACTTAACAGATATTTTTCGATGAAGCTGTCAATGAGGCCTGCACTTTTCTACTCCTTATTTTAATGTTCATTACAGAACTGTTCCAACAAATCTCTCTCTCTCTCTCTCTCTCTCGCTCTCTCTCTCTGTGCTCTCACTCATGCTGTTGTCTGTGACATGAAGCGGCGGGGTTGCTATTTTTCTGTAAGCGTAGGACTTTTTTTTAAAGGTCGGCATGTAGTCGGGCACCTAGCGGAACAATACACCCAAGGGACCTCTTAAGGATGAATTCCTGTTTCTCGTTGCCACACAAAAATTAGCCATCAGTAATACCAAATGAGCTCTCTCTTAAATTCTTGATCAAATTCAATAACATGGCAGGTGACTTTGGACGAGCGTGCCCCACACTGCAAATGTGGCAGCTGCATTGATTCACATTAACTATCCCCCAATAAGTGAGAAACGCACCATTAGCGATCCTGTAGGAATGTGAGGTCAGTTTTCTGTACGTTCGGGCTGCCTGACAATCCCTTTACATCTCTCTCTTACTCGTGCGTGTGTATGTGTGTGCGTGTGTGAGTAATGCCCACTCATGCTGTTTGTTACATCGGCATCATCGTGTGTCTTCACCATGAGAAGGTCTGGTTTCTGTCCTGCTGCCCCTCTCCTTCACTCTCAGTCTTATAGGGAAGGCGATGCTCTGGTCCCCCCCCCCCCCCACACACACACACACACACACACTTACACTTGTCTGTTACACTTAGATCAGCTCATTTTAGTGTTTTCTACAAGTTTTTTTTTGTTTTGTTTTTTTGACTCTTGACTGTCAAGTGTGTGGCTAACAGACATATTTTGAAACTCTAGGATAAGATAGGGCTTTTCTGATGTCACACGTGAATGTTTTGGTTAATAAGGTTAAGGAGAGACGGCCACTCCTCCCACACAAAACAATAACAAGGGGCTCAATTTAACCTTTTTTCATGCACTGTAACTCCCGGCCCCTCTAAAAAGGAAAGAAAAAAAAGAAAAAAAGAAACAGCTCTTACTGTTTTTTGTTTTGGTAGTTTTGGTCTTCCACCCCACTCTCACAGCAAAGCTGTATGGCACTCTCTCAGATGACACACCGTCATACCCGTATACCGCTGTACTCCTGGATAAACGTAGTGCACTATATGGTTAGTCGTTTGAGATTCGTCCTATGTTTCCTAGCATTACTGAGTGACTCTCGACGTGGCGGTTGAATCCTGTTTAGTGTTTGTGTTTTAATTCAGTGTGAGTTTGCAGTAACTGCCTCCTATAGTGTTAATACAGTTCGTATGATTTTTGGGCGACGTTGATGCGATGGTACACAGTTGCCATTAGTGGTCCCCTTTTCTTTTTTCGATCATACATGGAATCAGCTCATAGAATGAGACAAGCCATGACAACAGAATTAAAACCACAGCTAATTCTCAAAGGGCTTCCTCTGACTGCACAGACACACGATCACATTTTCAGGCTCCTGCAGTAGGTAGAATCAACTTATCCTTTATGGCAGCTAGTAGCTAGGTCATCCAGGGCTTCCAGACACTCCTTGTGTTCAAATCCCAGCAGCTGCAGAATGTTTTGCTTGTTGTTTTTAAATTATTTTCTAATTGTCCCTACACAGCCATCACATGCGGATCCTGTTAGAGCGTAGTTGTCGCAGTGTGTCCTCCCTGGACGTAGTCGCAGATTAGGACAAGGTTGTACGGTTTTAATATCAAGGAAAAAAGGGTAACTCTACTTGAGTAAATAATGGGTGAATATGGGCAGTTGCTGCTGTGCTTTGGTGCTCCAGCCAGTTTAATGTTGAACTTATTTGCTGTCTGACTGTTTGTTTGCTACTTAGGTGATGAGGGCAGTAGCTCCACAGAGGAATCTAATAAGCCACTGTCCTGGTTGAGCACAGCAGTGCACTGATTTATGTGTCCACACATGTAGGAAAAAAAAAAACCTGCCCCAGGAGCTGAACCCGATAGTCTTTGTGAAGACTATCCCATGGTGCTTTGGTGCAACTCCCTACTGAAACATGGCGATGAACAAACCCAGTTGGTAGCGGGGGAGGCCTCTTATTAGTTCTCTAGCGCACCGCAGACTCTGTTCTCACTCTGGTCGACACAGGCAGCCCATCCCCTCGCTGGGCTCCGATGTCAAACGTCGCATTTTTTTTTTTTCGTCTCGTACTCGCGCAACACTCAGAACAGATGCAGGGCTGCGAATGTGTCCGAATGAACAGATCAGTCGTGACTGTTGTGAGTCTGTTGAGGCCAATCTTTTAAAGCCCTTCTTCAAATGGTCCCAGGTTGACATGTTTAAAGGAATAAAATGTGTTGTGTTTGCCAGATGGGTCTAATGTAAATCCCTGTGTTGCACCGGGATGTTTCTGGCCAATGAGAGAATGTTAGGGTTTAATGTACAGTAGTTTTAATTGTTAAAAAGGTACAGATTTTTTCAGATTGACTGCTGAGTTTTATTTTTTTTAGCCAAACTTATCCCCTCCCCCATTTCCTTCCTAAAAGGTTTGAAAACAGGGTTTCCTGAGGCATGCTAGCCAGTGACCTCTGACCTTTTTTGTGATTAGAGGGGGGGGATTGCGAAGAGAGCCACGCCAGTAAGGGGTGACAGACACCCCTCAAGCCTGCGCTCTCCTATTTTTTGCTTTAATTCTCTTTGTATGCAGAACCAAAATGTAAAACGTCAGCAAACTAGGTTTCAGGCCTGACCTGTGTGTGTATATACCCGGAATACAATCATTGGGATCTTGTTTTCAAAAGCAAAATGACTTAATTGAAGATAAGTGTAGTTTCTAAAGAACATGTATCATTATTTGTAAGTTAACCATCTGCATGTCTTCAAGCCACCTGGCATTAGCTAATAATTTTTAAGATAAAAAAAAAACTTTTTACACATTTTATTTTTTACAATTTATTTGCTTACCTAAATATCCCAGACAATAATGTGACCCTTTTTATTACTTCAAATTTATTTTTATTTTCCATTTTTTTATTTTCCTTATTTCCTGTGTACTACATATAGGCAATTTATAACAAAATGAGAAAATTATTGAAGAAATTTTAAAATTGAAATATATTTTATTTGAAAGTTTATGGACCTTTTAACCGTGAGCTGGAAAAATTGTATAATCATATAATTTGAGCTGACTTGACGGTTATGAGAAATGTATCAAGAGTTTTATTTTTTATGCTTCTTTAATAAAGTCTTGTTTTTGGTTTCATTTTTTTACTGTAAAATAAGAACTTGTGTGTTGTGTCTTTATTTCTGTTCTGTGCAGAGTAGAAACTTGCAGCAGTGTACCACATGGTGGCAGTATAGACACACCTGCAGCAGCTAAAGACATGAATAATGGAGGGACATCTGCAGTTCAGACATGTTTGTTAGTGAATCTGAGACAAGACATCAGTTCATTCTTTAGGAAATTCATCCATATTGGGACTAGCCTGAATTTTATATGTAAATGTCAGAAGTTTCACTGAAGTTGGTCAACAGAGAATTAAACTATTTTAATTAATGTGCTGATGTCCCTTATGAAGCTAAAGTGTTTTTTTTTTTTTTTTTTTAAAGCAAATTAAAGATTCTCCAATGTGAGGATTTGCTTCTTCTGTTTTATTTCATTAATGGACTAGTCTTTAGACTGCTGCACTGGCAAAAAGAATTAAATTTGGACATTTTATAAACTGAAATAGAGCCAAGATGAATCCACAGCAAATTAATTTGCACAATAATCATTTTTCAAGCAACTGTATCAAATCCTTAAAGGTTCCACCTTCTCAAAACTTAATATTTTAGACATTTCCTTGCTTTTATATTATATTGTTGGTTGGATTTATACAACATATGTAAAAGTGGTATCTAACAAACTGACAAATGATTAAATGATTACTTGGATAATGAATCTTTAGTTGGAGCCCAAATCAGACGTAGGATCAGCAGCAGCATGTATGGTAGTCTGTATAGCTCACTGTGTTCACTAGACCTCCCTTCTTAAACCTCCAGCAGCTTTAAGTAATTCAGCTGAAACTGGAAAAAAAAATGTAGCTACAGCTTTAACCCATGACAGTTATGTCCACTAATGTTCTTCTGTCTAGACCAACTAGAAACCGCTTTGTTTCCCCCTCCCCTGTGGAGCAGGAGCTGAAACATCTGGTTCAACTTGTGTAAAGTGGTGATACTCCCCTCCCCCTCTCCGCAGATTAGGTCAGAGGTCACACAGAACAGACTGAGAGCTCAGTGAAGTGGAAGCCGGTTGTTCCAGCTGAAGGTTTTGTGTCAAAATAACACCCTGCTGTCTACATCTGAGAGGGAACAGCATCTGTCTTAACACTTGTTTTTTGTGTGAAGGGTTTAAAATGTGCAACTTCTCATAACTTATTGCTCTGAAGGCCCGTGTTAGGTATAATAGACGTGTATCCTGAGACGTAATAACCCGAACAAATGAAACTGCAGTGATGTGTTTCTCAGGCACTACAGGAGAAATAATAAAGCAGGCGTTTAGATTGTGACACAAATGTCCTTTTAATAGGAAGCAGATCACAATCAGGCTGCATTCCAGTTCCATTTCATCCTCATTAAAGAACGATCAATAATGATAAGAAACAAATTAGAAACATCCTTAGTAGAAAATAATTCTCTCATGCGAGGTTCTGTGTTCACACTACATTCATATTGGTTACAGATGACGTATTCACAAGCCTTTTTAAAAAACAAAACAAAAAAACATTGATGACTTATCATTACATAGCTTTAAATTAAAAACAAGGAAAAAATAAAAGAGGAACATCAAAGAGACACGTGCTGGCACGATAAAGTTTCCCATCATGCAATTGTAAGTTGATTCTATACACAGGGTGGGCATCATTGGTCTCCACAGAGTTGTGTCGGCGTGCATGCATGCATGTGTGTCATCTTACATGTGCCCTTTTGTGCTTGAGCAGAGATTGGTGTGTAGATGTGTACGTAGGTGTTGTCAGTGAGTATATGAGTGCAGTAGGTGTCTGTGTGCATACATACATGAAGCAGGCAACCAACGAGCCCCAAACTGGATGATCCGTTACGTTATTTGTTTGTTGCTTTTTCAGCCACAACCTGACAAGTCAAGTTTTGTCTTGAGCCCTGGGATTAGACAACACATACAAACAATGTAACTGCACTGTGTGTTAAATGGGGAGGAAAAGCTCCTTTTAAAGGGCTAGTTCACCCGAAAAATCAAAGCACGATTGAACTCATGATCCATTTTTTAAAGTGGAATTTGGACGCCAAATTTTAAAAAGGCATGAGTTGGTGTCCCCAAGCTAGTTGTGGTTTTGGATTTACTCCTTTGATCGTAGGAAAAAAAAAAAAAGACTGCGCAGAGGTTAAATAACATTCAGGAGCTTTGTTTTTGGTAGAATTCAACAGTTTTCGATAAAGACAACATGTGGCAGGCCAGCAGTGACGTCTGGCGTAGCTCCACATGGCTGCAGGAAAACCTAGCGCAGTATTTACTCACTGTCACTCACAAAGAGACTACAAGACAAGCCGGACTGACTGTGTGAGTGTTTGCTCACCTTTTTTTGCAGTGAAAGATTAAGAGGTTCATTTACGCACACGACAAGACTCAAACTAATACTTGAACAACATAAATGCTTGGCGGTGACTCTGATGGCTTCTTTCTTTGAAATAAAAACAAAAAACAAACTTGAGATCTGGTTCGTGCAAATCTGGTCATACTAAAGGCAAAACACTTTCCTTCTCTCTTATCCAAAATATGTGAGAACAAGCTTATTCGCTTCCACTAGGAATGGGGATTTTATGAGTCCATAAATAAAATATCTTGTGTGATTCTCACACACACACACACACACACACACACACACACACACACACACACACACACACACACACACACACACACACACACACACACACACACACACACACACACACACACTAAAGAATCATAAAATTCCCATTCCTTGGATCTGGATATTGCAGTTGGTGCTGCTGTAGTTATATTGACAGTGCATACATTTTGGGTATGTAGGTACAATATATTGCTCACAATCTCAGAGCCCATTTTACAGGAGTGACAATCGGCCCACACACACACACACACACACACACACACACACACACACACACACACACACACACACACACACACACACACACACACACACACACACCTTCACACACATGCAAGCACACAATAACAAAAGACACAGCAGTGTTCACAGAGGGTTTGTTCTTCATAAAAACCACGAGGTTCAGTGAACACACAAACAAACCACTATTGCCTTAAAGAGATGGATTTTAGATACGTGTGCAGGAAAGTGTTCCACCGAGCCGTTGTGTGTCCTTACAGGCTTCATGTGGAATTTTTTATTTATTTTCCAGTTCCTCCAGTGTCGCTTGTGAAGACTTTCTGAATCGGAGCATGTCTGCAGTGTGGCGTTTCAGAGCAGGCAGACGAGGGACACATGGGGGTAACCTTGCCGACAGAAGCGTGGACAGTATGTATTAGTGCGTAAACTGACATCCCGGTCCACTGATCCATAGCCCTTTTGGAGTTAATGTGCACTCTAGGGGTGTGGATGTGTTAGACCACTGCTGGGGGGGGGTATTGCTCCTTTTTGTTGTGATGTGAAGCAAGAAAAGTTGAAAGAAAATGCACAGTGGCCACAGCTTCCGCCTCTATCAACACATCGCATATCAGGCTCAGCATTTCTCCACTGGTGATGTGTTTTCTCCATAATGATGAAGGTTAGTCAGTTCATAATTATAAAACCTTATTGTATCAGGGTTATATATGCACCATGCTCACACAGGAAAAATATTGGAGGCGCCCATCTTTTATGTGGGAGGGGAGCGGTTGCCATGGTTACAGCAAAGTGAATCACAGTGTTCCTGGGGTCAACATGCAGGATGTTAGTACATTACAGGACAGACTAGCAGTGATGTTGCCCCTGGACACTGATCTAAGGTCAGTTTGTTGTGTGTTTTTTTTTTCTTCTCTATTTGGATGTACGGGGCAAAAAGAAGCTGATCTTAGATCTGTGCCTGAACTCCAACTTACACGACACATCACACCAGGGGGAGGACTACGCAGAGCAAACGACAAGAGAAGGGGGAAAGGAAAGAGGGGGGGACAAACTGGAAGAACGACACACAGTCAGGCAGGCAAGCTGACAGACGGACGGACGGACGAACAGAGCATGGCTAGGCAAGGACTGCTCTCCTGAAGACACAGAGAAGCAAAAGTGCAAAGTGGTCATTTTCAATCTATTCACATGGTTTTGTTGTTGTTCTGCACTGCATTCTATCTACAGCATATAAAAGGTGTGATGTGTTACAGGAAAGGTTGAGTGAGGGAAGTACTTGCAAATGTGAGGCGAACCTTAAATTAAAAGTGTAGAGTTGATTTGTTGAAATATTCAAAATTAAATATAATTTTCTATAAACATATTCCTCCATGTTTGCATTGATAACATTGCAATGTAAATGTTGCATAATGTATGCAGATCTATGTACAATAGAGCATTTTCATGTGTGTGCTTGTGTATTGCACATGGTTGTCTATCTATGTAGGTGTGAGTACTAAATGTGTGCATAATACTATGTCTATCGGGTATGTCTCTGGTGTTTTTCGCGCACACGGGTGTGTCCTCACTCTCTCCGACCCCCAACCCCCCTCTCAGCTGCGGCCCTCCTCAGCTGAGCGTTGGTCTGACTTGAGCTTGACGAACTCTTTAGCTACGTCGTCGTTGTTGCGTTGAGAGAGGATGCGCAGCACCGTCAGGCCCGTCTCGTCCATGTGGACGCGTCTGCCCAGCGGCATCCAGCAGCAGACGCTACCCTTGCTGGCTATGTCCTTCACCTGCAGCACGCCCATGCCCACAGTGCGGTCCTCCCTGGCAAAGCAGTAGTCTTTCACACACACCTGCAGCTCGTAGCTCTCTGGACCGACCTCAGTGCCCAAGGAGCTAAAACAAGACAGAATCATATACATGTTTTATTTTACACGTGTGCCTCATTACGAGAATTTTACTAATATTCAAGAATAGAGCATTTCAAACTCTTCCAGTACATTTAAGTCATTCAGGATACAATTAACCTTGCAGCTCAAAATCATCAAAGTCTGCTGGACTGGCAAAATGAAGTCCATTGCCTGAAGCGTTGTAACTCTTGAACAGTAAACATACATGTTTTGTGTATTTAAAAATGTCTATTGACAGTATGTTGGTTTTGTTAGTGTGCTTTC